ACTTGCCATGGCCATACAGTTTATAAGTAATATAAGTCTCTGTGTGTTTATTTGGGTCTGAGTGGCTACGGGTCCAGGCAGGACTGGAGATAACTCCAGCTACATTGGGTGTGTTGTATATTTGCTTTCATTCAATTCTAGAAAGTCATTAATTTCTTTCTTTATTTTTGTCTTGGCCCATTTTTTATTTATTGGAGATCTGTTCAGTTTCCGTGAGTTTGTACGCATTCTCTTGTTTATGTGCTTGTTGATACCAGCTTTAGTCTGTGATGGTCCAATTGGATACAGGATGTTATGTCAATTTCCTTGTATCTGCTGAGACTTGCCTTGTATCGAAGTATGTGAACAACTTTGGAGAAAGTTCCATGAGGTGCTTAGAAGAGGTGTGTGTGTGTGTGTGTGTGTGTGTGTGTGTGTGTGTGTGTGTGTGTTTAGGTGAAATGTTCTGTAAATATCTGTTAGGTCTCATTGGTCTATAATGTGAGTTGGCTCCCACATTTCTCTGTTTAGTTTTTGTCTGAATGATTTGTTTATTGGTGAGAGTTGGGTCTTGACATCCCCCACTATCAGTGTTTAGGTGTTAATGTGTGATTTAAACTGTAAACTGGACAAGCTTTTCTTTTATAAATTTGAGTGCCCTTGTGTTTGGTGCATAGATGTTAAGAATTGAAATGTCCTCTTGGTGGAATTTTTACTTGAGAAGTATTTAGTGTCTTTTTCTATCCCTTCTGATTGGTTTGGTCTCAAGTCTTTTTTGTCAGATATTCAAATGACTGCACCTGCTTTTTTCTTAGGTCCATTTGCTTGAAATATCTTCTTCCATCCTTTGACCTGGAGGTGACGTCTATCCTTTATGCTAAGGTGTGTTTCTTGGAGACAGTAGAATTTGGATCCTGTTTTTTGCATCTGTCCTCTTAGTCTGTGCCATTTTATTGGTGCATTGACATTCTTGATGTTAGGAGATATAAATGCACTGTATTTCTTTTTTTGATTTCTCCTGTTATTTTGGTGTGTGTGTGTGTGTGTGTGTGTGTGTGTGTGTGTGTGTGTGTGTGTGTGTTTCCCCTCTTTTGATTTGCTGGGCAGGGATTATTTATTGCTCCTGTTCTGTTAGGTATGATTAACTTATTTAGGTTAGGTTTTTCCTTTTAAAGTCCTCTGTTAGGAATGGATTTATAGATAGATATTGGTTAAATTTGGTTGTTTATGGAATGTCAGTTTTCTCCATCTATTGTGTTTTAAGTTTTTCTGGAGTACTGACATCTGTACTCTCTTACAATATGTAGAGCATCTTTCCAGGAATTTCTAGCTTTCAGAGTTTGCATTGAGAAGTCAGGTGCTATCTTCATATTTCTGCCTTTATACATCATTTGGTATTTTTTCCTTTCAGTTTTTCATATTGTTTCTTTGTTTGGTATGTTTAGTGTTGTTATTATTATGTGCCAAGGGACTTTCATTTCTGGTCTAATCTATTTGGCATTATATAAGCTTCTTGTACCTTGATAGGCATCTCCTTTTTTAGTTTAGAACATTTTTTCTCCCATGATTTTGTTGAAAATATTTTCTCTGCCTTTGACCTGAGTTTCTTCTTCCCTTATTCCCATTATTCTTAGATTTGGTCTTTTCATAGTGTTCCATTTTTTAAAATATATATATATATATATATATCACTTTCTTTGATCAAGTATTCATTTCTTCTATTGTGTCCTCAATACCTCAGATTCTTTCTTTCATCACTTCTGTTCTATTAGTGAGTCTTTCCTCTAAGGTTTCTGTTCAAGTCCCTATATTTTTCATTTCCTTATTTCCCTCATTTTGGGTTTTCTTGACTGATTCTGTTTTCACTTTCAGGTCTTAGACTACTTTATTCATTTCTTTACAGTGCTAGTTTTTGTTTGCTTTAAGGGATTTATTCAGTTTCCCTCTAAAAATCTAACATATTCTTAAAAGGTGTCAAGATCTTTGTCTTAAACCTCAGGTATGCTGCTTAATGGCCTCACTCAAGACCAACTGTGGTAGGCTTGCTGGACTCTATTGGCGTGGAGACATATAGTTCTGGCTGTTTATGTTCTTTTTTTGTTTTGTTTTGCTTTGTTTTTTGTTGTTGTTTTATGCTGACGTCTAGGCATCTAGTCTTGGAAAGATTGTAATTATCTATGCTGATATATGGTCTTGTATTTGTTGCATGGATATTGGTTCCTTGGTTTTTATTACTCTCTCTGGTTTTTATGAGAGTGTCATGGCTATATCTTGCCTGGTAGGAAACTCTTCCGGGATCCTGATTAGTGTGGCCACTGGGGGCTCCGGGTAAAATGAATTTCTAGGTATTTAGTGCTGACACTTAGGCATTGGGATGTGCTAGGATGCAGGGACTGAGCAAGTACACAGAATGGAGGAAAGCAGGTTGTTCCACAAAGATCTGCTTAGTCACTTGGGAACAGGGCTAGATAGTGAGAAGAAGTCGCAGCAGAAGGTCTGCTCTAGAGCTAGGCATGAGAACCTGGAAAGGGCTTGAAGGAAGGGAGGGAGAGGTGAAGATCTGCAGTTAGTCTACTTTCTTCACTGGCCAGAATGGTCAGTGGGTCCTCAGGGAATGACTATTAAAGTTGGGGAATAGATAAAGTAATAAGTTTTGGGGGAGGAAACTTGCAAGAGAAGATCTGTGTGACCCTGTGGGGATGGGGGCTTAGGGGGAGGAAGGCTGGTATAGGTGGTCTGCTGTAGAGCTGGGATAAGTTAGCCTGGACGATTGGATTTGAAGGAATGGAGGGAGGGTGAAGTTCTGCACCCAGCCTACCTGGCTGGATGGGAGCACAAGTTTTTTATGAAGTTAATTTAATCAAACTATTGCTTTTGGTGCTTTTTATTCTGGGGTAAGTTCAAGATAAAATAAGCAAATGAGATAAGTGCACACTGTTCATTGCCAAACTGTTGGCTCTGAAAAATATACATACAAGTAGCAGTATATGGATTGAAAAAGCTATGTTTAGGAGTATGTATGTACATAAAAATACATATATACATGCAAGAAAAATTATTGAATAAAGAGGCCATGACATTGAAGAAGAGCTGTAAAGAGTATGTGGGAGGGTTTGGAGGGTGGACAGAGAAGGACAATATATAGTAACTTCTTTATAGCCTCAAAAAATAAAATAAACTGAGCAAATAGAGTCTATTTTTTTTAACCAAAGGTGCTTCTAATAATTTTTATTATCATATTTGCATTATTATGGGATAAATTTAAAACAACTCTGTAGTAGATATTACTTATCCTATTGCTACTTAGTTGATTTTAGAGAGTTACCCTCTACAGTGATACCTTAGTGCTTTATAGAACTTTGCCATACTTCTACTATGAGACTGACAGCATGCACTCAAAACAGGGAAATATTAGGTATTGTAATCCACTCAGAATAAACTAAAAGTAGCTGCCAAAGTAAAAAGATGACCTAAGCAAATTCTCAAGCTTATAATTTCTATGATGCCCTAATTGTATAGCTCAAGAGAAAAAAAAAAAAAGAGGACCTGAGATTACTCTACCCACAACATACGGTACTTGTTAATGCTATTGTTCTCTGAATGTGTGCATTCATATTAAGGGTACCTCAGCTCTTGCCAGAAAAGTGTGTTTCCTTCCCTAATGCAGATTCCCTCTGTCAAATTTTGCTAACTCTCCAGCACATCTGAGAACTTGAGGCGCTCTTCAAGGAAATGATTCTCTATAAAATTCTGTAGTAGTTTTAGCAATGGAAAATATTTATCCCTTTCAAATACTGGAAATGGGAAGGCAATGTGGTTGTATGCTCTGCCACTGACATTTTTCTCCAACTGGTTTTACTTTGTGATTTAAACAAGAAATTGCAATGTGATGACATTTTTTTGGATAAAAGTTAGAGAAAATACCTCAAAGTACTTGAAATTGAACTTTTCAGATCCCCTTTCTACCTGAAGTCAGCAGATACAATTTTTTTCTGAGTATATAGTGTTCTCCATACTTTCATGTGATTGAACATTTGGTTCTCAGAAGGGGGTGCTGTTTTAGGAGGTTGTAGACCTTCAAAAGGTGAGGCCTAGCTGGACAAAGTGGGTTGCTTTCTGGCTGATAGCCAGACCCCACTTTCTGTTCTTGCTGCTTCCTTACATCTGAGGTGATATGACAGACGTGACCCACCATAAACAGACCAGCCATCATCCACCTTCCCAGCCATGATGTCTTGATGCTTCCTTAACCTTGCCTCTCTCAAGATGCTTCTGCTAGGTGTTTTCCAACAGCAATTGGAATGCTAACTCATCTGGTATGCATGTCCTATCCTAGTGTTTCTAAAAGGAACCCAAAAAATGGGTTATGGATGTTAGTTATCATTTAGGGGAGGGGAGTTGGTTACAACTTGTTATTGGTCATGCTAAAAAAAAATGCTAAAAAAAGAGTTAAATCCAAAGATCTCTTTCTAAAGAAAAAAAGGGTGGTATAATATAGAAATGATGATATAATATAGAAATAAAAGGGTAGATTATTGACTCTACTTTAATCCAAATAGCAACTATTAATCTTAAATATATTACATTGGTATGGATTTTGATTTATTGATATAAATTTAAAGTTATTTTTTGTTATACTGTATGTATGTTTCTACTCTTTTTTGGCATATTGTGCTTATGCAGCTCATTGAAAAATGTAATGTATAATTAAGAAATACAGGCTAATAGTCACTTATAATAATCAAACTTGTCATATTAGGTATATTTTCAAAGTTAAACAGAGAAAGATAGATAGATAGATAGATAGATAGATAGATAGATAGATAGATAGATAGATAGATAGATAGATAGATGATAGTCTTCAGACACTTCAAAGACCGGCAGAATATGGCATTTAGAATGTTTTAATAACATAAGGGGTTTTTTTTTGACAAGTCTGCTTCTGGTAGCACCAATTTACTTCATAGAAGATGGTAGGCATCAAAGTAATACCATATAGAATTTGTGTTCTTTGTTCTTAGTTCTAAAAACTAGCTACTGGGCAAAGAATCTGCCCTTGCCTCAATTGCTGACAGTATACTCTCCAAACTGGACCATCTAGATGCAAAAGAAAGCAACTACCAAACTTCACCAAGACAAGGTAGGACAGTCCTTCAAAATTTTTTGTTTCTTGGAAATGTCTGTCAGATACACTAGGACTGTAGGCCAAAGATCATGCCCCAACATTACAGAAGAACTTTTGGTGATTGTCCTGGCAGCTAGATATTCCTGTCATTAGGTAATATTACATCCTTCTATGGTCTTTGATGGAGTTAAGACTAGATGATAAAAGGCAAATTAGGCACAAAACTTTAGACTCACAAAGATAAGATAGAAATATACTAAGACTCTTCCTTTAGGTTTTTAGATTAGCATATAAAATAATGAATTTCATTATGGCATTTTCATATACACAGTTTTTTTTTTTATTTTTTCTCATCCACTACCCCTTCCACTCACCCCTCAATTCATTGCCACAAGATGGTCCTTTCTGTGTTCATCTAACAGATCCTATTACTCTCTTTTTTGTCCCCAATCCTCCCTTAAGATATTTCCCGTTATGATCTTTTATCTCTGACCTATGTTTACTCTACATAACAAACTGCTATGCACATGTAAAATGTTAAAATAGAGTACCAACATATGATAATATGAGAGCTACACTGATTTACTGCAAATGTCTTGTTCTGGTTTTGTTTACAACTAGAATAAAATTCAATTGTGCGTATGTATCATATTTTCCTTTTTAATTCATGTGTTGATAGGCACATATGTGAGCTCTATTTTCTTACCATTGTGAGTTGTACATGAATTTAGGTATGCAAGTATGGTAGGATTTAGAGTCCTCTAAAGGGTAGAGTTCTGTTTAGACTTGAGGAATTCATATACTGAGCTCCTCAATGGCTGCATCAGTTTTTATTCCCCCTGAAGTGAATGTGTGTTTCTCTTTCCCACACTCTAGTCAATACTGGTCTTCCATTTGTTTATGTTAGTCATTCACACTGGGGTGGATAGACAGAATCTTAAAGTGCTTTAGGTTTTTTTCTTCTATTGCTAAGGATGCTGAACACTTTTTTAAAGTCATTAGCCATCATTTGTATTTTTTTCACTTTGGGGAGCCATCTGTTGAGATCATCTCATCAGCTCACTTGTTAATTGCAGATTTAGTTTCTTTAGCGTCAAATTTTTCATTTCTTTACAAGTTTTAAATATTAGTGATCTCTCTGAAATATAGATAGCAAACTTTTCTCTCATGTTCTTTAAAATACTTCTTGCAGCTGGCTGATAGTTTCCTTTGATGTGAAAACTGTTTTCATGTAACTCATGTGCATATTCTTGAGTAATTTGCTCTGCTATTGAACCCCTTTAAAGAAAGTTCTTGCTTATATATTTTAAAGTTTTTCATTACTATATTTTATTCTAGTAATTTTAGTTTCAAGTCTTATATTAAGTCTTTCATCCATTTTTATAAGATGGGAAATATGGGTCAAAAATCATTCTTCTACGTGAGAATATAGTTTCCCTATGCCATTTGTTGAAGAGATTACCTTTTTACCAATGTATTTTTATATACTTTTATTTAAAAAAAATGTTGGCCATAGTTTTGTGGAGATATTTGTAGGTCTTCTACTATATTCCATTGGTCCACATGCCTTTTGTTTTTCCAATTGTAGTGCTATCTTGATTACTGTGGTTCTGCCATAAAATTTGAGATCAGACACTGTGATCCAGCACTGCTCTCTGTCTTTAGCAATGATTTGGCTATCAGTGTATTTACAAATTAATTTTAGGATTGTTTTCTGTAGTAGGAATCTTAAAAGTTCTTATTAATAAAAACAAATCCGGATCCAGGTATTGGGGTGAACTCTGAAAAATCAGAGACAGAACAGGCCACAGCTAACCTCACCTGGCCAACTTCTCATCTGATCTTGTTTCCTCAGACTGGAAGCCTCTGTGTCCTCACATCTGAATGGCTCTCAGCTGAACTGTGCTGCTCAAAACCTAAAAGCTTAACCAGCTAAATGCTTCTAGTTCATGATCTTCATACCTTATATACCTTTCTTCTTTCTGCCTCACTTCCTGGGATTAAACGTTCACTTTCTGGAATTAAAGGTGTGTGTCACTATGCCTAGATGTTTCCTGTGTGGCCATGATCTCACAGAGATTTAGAGGGATTTCTGCCTCTGGAATGCTAGGATTAAAGGTATGAGTGCCACCATTTTCTAGCCTTTGTATCTAGTGACTGTTCTGTCTCTGACCCCAGATAAGTTTATTAGGGTACACAATATTTTGGGGAACACAATATCACCACAGTTTTCTCTACTGTTAAGAAGAACATCATTGGAACTTTGATGACAATTTTGTTTAAATTTATAACTTAGCCATTTATTTTCATTATAAATTCTGTCAACTGGTGAGAAAAGGTCTTTCCAGCTTCTATAACTTCTTCAATTTCTTTTATTTCACCATTAAATATTACAAATATTTCCATCTCTATTGTTAGATTTAGTCCTAAGGATTTTTAAATCTCTTATGAATGGGATATTTTCTAACTTTACTTATTGTGAAGTACATTATTGAAATGCATAGAAACTATTGATTTATACATGTTAGTTTTATATCCTGTTATTTTGCTGAAAGGGATTATTAGTTCTAAGATTTTTCCAATAGAATCTCTTATGTATTGGGTCCTGTAATCTACAAACAGGGGTACTATGACTTCTTCCTCTCTGGTTTGTGTTCTCATATTTTCTTCTGTTTCTTTACTAATTGATTAAACTAAGACTTTAAACTAAGTCAAATAAGAATAGAAAAAGTGGGCATTCTTGTCTTGTTCCAAATTTTGAAGAAAAAGCTCTCAGTTTTAGTCCATTTGGTATAATGTGGGCAAATGGCTTGTCATATATGGTATTTATTAAAATTTTTTTCTTTTATTGTTAGATTATTCAGGATTTTTTCATGATATCGTGTCAAATTTTATTAAATGAATTTTCTTTATCTATTGAAATGTACATGTGAATTCTGTCCTTAACATATTTATATGTTATACTACATTTATTAATTGGTGTGTATTGGACCAACCTCACATCCCTGGGAAGAAATTATGGAGGGCATGATCTAAATGGGTTCATGGATTCATTTTTCAAGCATATCATTAAAATTTTTGCATCTATGTTCACCAGGAAATTGATTTGTAGCGTTTATTTTCCTGTTGTATCCTTATCTAGTTTTGGTACCAAGATATGATGGCTTCATAGAATGAGTTTGTTAGTGTTCCTTCTACCTCTACTCTTTGGAAGAGTTTGATTTTTTTTTTTTTTATCACGTAGGTGTTCTTTAAAAGTTTGGTAGACTTTAGTAGTGAATCCATTCAGCCCTGTGTTTCCTTTGTTGGGAGATTTCAATACTGCCTCCATTTGTTGGTTTGTTAAGAGTCTGCTTCCATTGTTTATTTCTTCCTGATTTAAATTTTGTAGATTATATGTCTATAGGAATTATCTATTTCTCCTAGATTTTCAAGCTTCTTGGAGTATAAATTTCTAAAACATCCTCTTTGTAATTCTTTGGAGCCTGTTGATACACCTGTAGTTTCATTTCTAATTTTATTTATTTGGTTGTAACTTTTCACTAGTTTGATACTTTAATGTGGTGGTTTGAAAGAAAATGGTCCCCAAAGGGAACATCACTATTAGGAGGTGTGGCTTTGTTGGAGTAGGTGTGGCTTTGTTGGATGCTGTGTGTCACTGTCGGGGG